TCATTTCTAACTCTATTGATTTGAGTCTTCTCCCTTTTTTTCTTGATGAGTCTGGCTAATGGTTTATCAATTTTGTTTATCTTCTCAAAGAACCAGCTTTTCGTTTTATTGATCTTTGCTATCGTTTCTTTCATTTCTGTTTCATTTATTTCGGATCTGATTTTTATGATTTCTTTCCTCCTGCTAACTTTGGTGTTCTTTTGTTCTTCCTTCTCTAATTGCTTTAGGTGTAAGGTTAGGTTGTCTATTTGAGATGTTTCTTGTTTCTTAAGGTAGGATGGTATCGCTATAAACTTGCCTCTTATAACTGCTTTTGCTGCATCCCATAGGTTTTGGGTCATCGCGTTTTCATTGTCATTTGTTTCTAGGTATTTTTTGATTTCCTCTTTGGTTATTAAGTAGTGTATTGTTTAGCCTCCATCTGCTTGTATTTTCTACAGATTTTTTTCCTGTAATCGATACCTAGTCTCATTGCATTGTGGTCGGGATACTTGATATGATTTCAATTTTCTTACATTTACCAAGGCTTGGTTTGTGACCCAAGTTATGATCTATCCTGGAGAATGTTCCATGAGCACTTGAAAAGAATGTGTATTGTGTTTTTGGATGGAATGTCCTATATCAATTAAGTCCATCTTGTTTAATGTATCATTTAAAGCTTGTGTTTCCTTATTTATTTTAATTTTGGATGATCTGTCCATAAAGTCCCCTACTATGATTGTGTTACTGTCGATTTCCCCTTTTATGGCTGTTAGTATTTGCCTTATGTATTGAGGTGCTCCTATGTTGGGTGCATAAATATTTACAATTGTTATATCTTCTTCTTGGATCGATCCCTTGATCATTATGTAGTGTCCTTCTTTGTCTCTTGTAAGAGTCTTTATTTTAAAGTCTATTTTGTCTGATATGAGAATGCTACTCCAGCTTTCTTTTGATTTCCATTTGCATGGAATGTCTTTTTCCATCCCCTCACTTTCAGTCTGTATGTGTCCCTAGGTCTGAAGTGGGTCTCTTGTAGACAGCATATATACAGGTCTTGTTTTTGTATCCATTCAGCCAGTCTGTGTCTTTTGGTTGGAGCATTTAATCCATTTACATTTAAGGTAGTTATCGATATGTATGTTTCTATTCCCAGTTTCTTGATTGTTTTGGCTTTGTTATTGTACGTCTTTTCCTTCTCTTGTGTTTCCTGCCTAGAGAATTTCCTTTAGCATTTGTTGTAAAGCTGGTTTGGTGGTGGTGAATTCTCTTAGCTTTTGCTTGTCTGTAAAGGTTTTAATTTCTCCTTCAAATCTGAATGAGATCCTTGCTGGGTAGAGAAATCTTGGTTGTAGTTTCTTCCATTTCATCACTTTAAATATGTCCTGCCACCCCCTTCTGGCTTGCAGAGTTTCTGCTGAAAGATCAGCTCTTAACTTTATGGGGATTCCCTTGTGTGTTATTTGTTGCTTTTCCCTTGCTGCTTTTAATATGTTTTCTTTGTATTTAATTTTTGACAGTTTTATTAATATGTGTCTTGGCGTGTTTCTCCTTGGATTTATCTTGTATGGGATTCTCTGTGCTTCCTGGGCTGGATTAACTATTTCCTTTCCCCTATTAGGGAAGTTTTCAACTATAATCTTTTCAAATATTTTCTCAGTCCGTTTCTCTTTCTCTTCTTCTTCTGGGACCCCTATAATTCGAATGTTGGTGCATTAAATGTTGTCCCAGAGGTCTCAGACTGTCCTCAATTCTTTTTGTTCTTTTTTGTTTATTCTGCTGTGCAGTATTTATTTCCACTATTTTATCTTCCAGGTCACTTATCCATTCTTTTGCCTCAGTTATTCTGCTATTGATTCCTTCTACAGAATTTTTAATTTCACTTATTGTGTTGTTTATCATTGTTTGTTTCCTCTTTAGTTCTTCCAGGTCCTTGTTAAACGTTTCTTGTATTTTCTCCAATTTGCTTCCAAGATTTTGGATCATCTTTACTATCATACTCTGAATTCTTTTTCAGGTAGACTGACTATTTCCTCTTCATTTGTTTGGTCTGGTGGGTTTTTACCTTGCTCCTTCATCAGCTGCGTGTTTCTCTGTCTTCTCATTTTGCTTAACTTACTGTGTTTGGGGGTCTCCTTTTCGCAGGCTGCAGGTTTGTAGTTCCCGTTGTTTTTGGTGTCTTCCCCCAGTGGCTAAGGTTGATTCAGTGGGTTGTGTAGGCTTCCTGGTGGAGTGGACTAGTGCCTGTGTTCTGGTGGGTGGGGCTGGATCTTTTCTCTCTGGTGGGCATGTCCACATCTGGTGGTGTGTTTTGGGGTGTCTGTGGCCTTATTATGATTTTAGGCAGCCTCTCTGCTAATGGATGGCATTGTGTTCCTGTCTTGCTAGTTGTTTGGCACTGTAGTTGTCCAGCACTGTAGCTTGCTGGTTGTTGAGTGTAGCTGGGTCTTGGCGTTGAGATGGAGACCTCTGGGAGATTTTCGCCATTTGATATTATGTGGAGCTGGGAGGTCTCTTGTGGACCAGTGTCCTGAAGTTGGCTCTCCCACCTCAGAGGCACAGCACTGACTCCTGGATGGAGCACCAAGAGCCTTTCATCCACATGGCTCAGAATAAAAGCGAGAAAAAAGGAAGGAAGCAAGGGGAAGGAGGGAAGGAAGGAAGGAAGAAGATAAAATAAAGTTATTAAAATAAAAAATTATTAAGAAATTTTTAAGCGTTAAAAAAAATATGGACAGACAGAACACACTCACAAAAAGAGAAAAAGGGGTTAAAAATATATATATATATATATCTTTTGCTCCCAAAGTTCACCTCTTCAATTTGGGATGATTCGTTTTCTTATTCAGGTATTCCACAGATGCAGGGTACATCAAGTTGATTGTGGAGATTTAATCTGCTGCTCCTGAGGCTGCTGGGAGAAATTTCCCTTTCTCTTCTTTGTTAGCACAGCTCCCGGCGTTCAGCTTTGGATTTGGCCCTTCCTCTGCGTGTAGGTCGCCTGAGGGAATCTGTTCTTCGCTCAGACAGGACGTGGTTAAAGGAGCCGCTGATTCGGGGGCTCTGGCTCACTCAGGCTGTCGTGGAGGGAGGGGTACGGAGTGCGAGGCGGGCCTGCGGCGGCAGAGGCCAGCGTGACGTTGCACCAGCCTTAGGTGCGCCGTGCGTTCTCCCGGGGAAGTTGTCCCTGATCACGGAACCCTGGCAGTGGTGGGCTGCACAGGCTCCCGGGAGGGGAGGTGTGGAGAGTGACCTGTGCTTGCACACAGGCTTCTTGGTGGCGGCAGCAGCAGCCTGAGCGTCTCATGCGCTGATAGCCGCGGCTCGCGCCTGTCTCTGGAGCTCCTTCAAGCAGCGCTCTTAATCCCCTCTCCTCGCGCACCAGGAAACAAAGAGGCAATAAAAAGTCTCTCGCCTCTTCGGGAGCTCCAGACGTTTTCCCAGACTCACTCCCGGCTAGCCATGGTGCGCTAACCCCCTGCAGGCTGTGTTCACGCCGCCAACCCCAGTCCTCTCCCTGGGATCCGACCTCCGAAGCCCGAGCCTCAGCTCCCAGCCCCAGCCTGCCCCGGCAGGTGAGCAGACAAGCCTCTCGGGCTGGCGAGTGCCGGTCGGCGCCGATCCTCTGTGCGGGAATCTCTCCGCTTTGCCCTCCGCGCCCCTGTGGCTGCGCTCTCCTCCGTGGTCCCGAAGCTTCCCTCTTCTGCCACCCGCAGCCTCTGCCCACGAAGGGGCTTCCTAGTGTGTGGAAACCTTTCCTCCTTCACAGCTCCCACCCACTGGTGCAGGTCCCATCCCTATTCTTTTGCCCCTGTATTTTCTTTTGCCCTACCCAGGTAAGTGGGGAGTTTCTTGCCTTTGGGGAGGTCTTAGGTCTTCTGCCAAGAGTTCAGTGGGTGTTCTGTAGGAGTTGTTCCACGTGTAGATGTATTTCTGATGTATTTGTGGGGAGGAAGGTGATCTCTGCGTCTTACTCTTCCACCATCTTGAAGCTCCCTGCCCTCCTTTTATGAGTGAAGAAGCTAAGGCCCAGGCTACTTGCCATGGATAAGTACCAAATCAGTGGTAGAACTGAATCAGAACTCCTAGCCTGTGACCTCTACTGTCTTGCTTGTTAGAATCTCTGCCAAAGCAGGTATGGAAGAAAACAGAGATCCAGATTAGGTCAGTAGGTACACAGAATAGTTGTCACTGAGACCCTGGAGTCAGGCAGACATGAGTTCAAATTTTGGTTCTATCACTTATCAGCCACTTGGCTTTGAGCAAAGAATTTAATCCCTCTGAACCTCAATTTAGGTGTCTGTACAATTGGGATAATTATGCCTCACTCATAGAGGCTTTGTGGGATGAAATAAGAAAATGCATCTGGCAATGGTTGAAATTATTATTGAAATTGATATGAATAATCTGTGTTCATCACCATGGTAATGGAGAATATGGATGATTAATGAGACACTAATACTCCTACCTGTCTGCTCACAAAATCCAAATGGTATGGATGAGAAGAAAAATGGCATTATGGTGCCAAACGCTGCAGTTGAAATTCTACTGACCTAGATATCACAGTTCAGGAAATAAGTAGACTTGACAGAGATGGAGAGAAGGAAAAAATCAAAAGTACCAGAGATCTGAGCACAGAATATCTACAATCAAATTCTCTTGCTTTCAGTCACACACCCTTTGAATCCAATTTGCTCTCCATTATTTGTTTAACTTAACTTCTGTTAATTTTATCCAAATGCTAATCTCCTTACATTCTAAAGCCAGTATACAAAAATCACACCAATAAAGTACTCAGATGACTGGTTAAATTGCATTTTGCAACTGTGTGTGGGCACATGGGCTTGGCTCTGGCAGGGTTTGTGGAAGGGCAGGAGGAACTGGACTATCATAAAATGTTCTACACTAGTTTTGTTGGGTTTGCCATTCTGACTTATTAAATTTGAGGCATAAGGAAACTGATACAAAGGGGTGTCTGTGTTTGAAGCCTACATTGACATTATCCATTTCCTGTGTTTAAGGAGCTGGAATATCAGAAGTCTCAGCCCTCACGGCCTGGAGATAAGTTTGTGTCTGTTGTCAGCCAGTTCATCACGGTAGCCAGCTTCAGCTTCTCTGACGTTGAAGATCTTCTAGCAGAAGCTAAAGACCTGGTAAATTTCCCCTTGCGCACTGAGTGTTGCTTGACAGAGCTGGTACTTTCAGTATACTTTCATTTCTAGGGCTGTGATCAGTTGAAACACATGCTTTCTATCTAACTGGGCTTTAGGTTAGTAAGACCTTGAAGTGTCTGAATGGTGTAAAACAAGTAAATACTTTGACAGTTTTAAATATTTTGATAGTTTTTCTCTTGATTATTATTATAATTATCTCTGGGAAACAGAAAAGAGTGGATTATGAAAACCAAGGGCAGGATGAAATGTGACATCAAGGTATGACTGAGGCCTTGTGCTTCAGAAACTTGTAAGATGCTCACCTGAGATAGGGACTTAGGAGGGCAGGATATTCCCTCTTTAAATCTCTAGAAGAACTTACTAAATGATAGGCACTTTAATTCAGAGCCTCATTGCAAAAGACTTTTTTTTTTTTGCGGTACGCAGGCCTCTCACTGTTGTGGCCTCTCCCGTTGCGGAGCACAGGCTCCGGACGCGCAAGCTCAGCGGCCACAGCTCACGGGCCCAGCCGCTCCGCGGCACGTGGGATCTTCCCGGACCGGGGCACGAACCCGCGTCCCCTGCATCGGCAGGTGGACTCTCAACCACTGCGCCACCAGGGAACCCCAAAAGGCATATTTTTAATAAGACTTTTTTTAAAAATGAATTTTGCTATTACAAAATCTTGTTTTCCTGTAAGGGAAGAGTTTTCATTGGCGAATACCCAACACCTTAAAATCCCCCTGCCCCATCTCTCTGTCTCTGTCTCTGGTTATTTCCTCTTCCAAAATTCATACACATTCATATACATGTGCACATTCTCTTGTCCCCTTCTCATTGTTAACAAATGTCATTAAGCTGCTATCCAGCCTACTGAGTTCCTCCACACTGCCCATCTCTCAGTTGTGACAACACTCTTTTGCTTTAACTTGAATCTTTCCTTTGAAACTTGAGTAATGAATCTCATTTTTCTGTGGTCCCCTGTTCAGTTATAGATATGGATGATTGTATATTAAGTGTACACACATACTCATTAAAGTGCAGAAGTAGACTGTGTTAAGATACACTAGCTAATCTCAACATTGAAACCCCATCTCCAATGTTACTAAATAAATGCAAGACAAGATATGTTTGAATGACTGCTGTTAGAGGTCCAGCCCCTGGTACCCCTGATTGAAATCAGTGAACTGATGTCAGCAGCCTCCCCTGTGATGGCCCCCACCTCAATCTAGGCAATACAGTACCTACTTCATCACGGGCTCAAACATTTTTCTAAGAATCAACTGAATAGTTAATTTTTGATTTATACACACTCTACTTTTTTTTTTTTTTTTTCAATTTCAGTGTGGGAACTTTAGTCTGGGACTAGTTTTGTTCAGATTTCTAAGACTAAAATATACATGACTTCATCATCACTAGAATTCCTAGATAAAAAGATCATTCTGGATGGCTTTGACATGCCTGAACTTCAATGTTTTAGAACCTCAATTGTAGTCTATCTGTTGCTGTTTTGTTCATACCAGAACTTTTAGAAATTAGCTTATAAAACCATGCAGCAACTGAAGCGCTGCATGTGGTGTATGAAGAATGTCGTATTTTTCCCTAAAGAGCTTAGTTTCTAATAAAATATTTCCAAATAAGTAAAATATTGAGAACTCCTCAATGAAGAGAAAAATGGTAAAAAAAGCATCATTATAAATTTAAAGATATGAAATATATATATAAAACAATTGAAAATTGTCTTATTTAAGATGTTGAAAATGTTGAAAATATTTCCTTTACAGAGATAGGATTGCCAAAATGTCAGGAAAACTTAACAATGTACTAAAGACAAGTAGTGCAAGAAAAATAAAAGCAATTAGACCATGAAGTATTTATACAGTCCTCCCCAACCTAAGAGTTTCAAACTGTGAAGAAAATGAAAGATCTGGAAATTTTGAAGTAGTTGATTAGGCATAGGGAGTAAGAATTTGTTTGACCTTGAAGTTAGAAACACCGTCCGTTGTAGTTTAGATGTACTAGCATTAGATCCTTACAGAAGGAGATATAGTTCTAAAAAACAACTTGACTGGCATTGAACAGTATTTGGACAGTCATAATAATGCTAAGATACTTAAAACCATACTATCTCGAGTTGTGAAGATAACAACCAGAAGAACTAAAAACAGAAATGTTAAAACTAAAAAGACTGGCTGTGCTATTTTGTTAGCCTATATATTTTTTAATTTAATTTTTAAAAATTCGCCCTTAATATTTTGCGTTTTATCTGTTTTTAAAAGATTTGCCTTGAGAGGGGTTCTAAAACAAAGGATTTAGAATAAAATTGTATTCTCAGTTATGAATTTTGGGTTGCCTTAATGATTCCATAATCAGTGAGTGTTTTCTAATTGAGGCCCAGGAAGTACAGTAATACCAATATTATTTATGATTAGTAAAAGCAGCTAAGAAACACTGTATCCTATTTGCTTTTGATACTAACCACATGGCACCATAAATGATACTAAACTACTTCAAAGAAAAGTTAAAAGTACAAGTTTCCTTACCCCTGCTGAGTTTGCTCTTAGTTTTATATCCTGAGTGCTCTGCCCTGTGATATTCTGCTTTCTTGTTTTTACTACTGTTTAGTTAACAAAGAGTCATAGGATGTAATCATAGATGTTAAGCTGAAATGAGGTGGACAAGGATAAATGGTTTCACAAGTCGTGGAGTATTACATTTTTTTCCTTTATAAGCAATTGATAGACATGTTCAGCAGCCGAAGATAAATCCGGCGAGTTACATTTGACTCAATTTGACCTTTAGCCCCTTGAGAGAGATTGATATTTATGTGATCACGGTGTTCTCTTGGAAGACTGAACTTCTTAAAACCTTCTTTTTTCCAGTTTACTAAAGCAGTGAAACACTTTGGGGAAGAGGCTGGCAAAATACAGCCAGATGAGTTCTTTGGCATTTTTGATCAGTTTCTTCAGGCTGTGTCAGAAGCCAAACAAGAGAATGAAAACATGAGAAAGAAGAAGGAGGAGGAAGAGCGCCGAGCTCGAATGGAGGCTCAGGTAAGTGGGTGGCCAGTTCCACCCCCAGAAAGTTCTGTTGCTGCATCTCCTTGGTTTTTAGGAAGTGCTCTGCCATGCTGGCAAGAAGGAGGGCGTCAATGTCCTATCTAGAAGGCTGCTGGGAGTTTCAATTGGTAGAAAGTTTCTCTTGGGCAATGTGGCAGTCTATATCCAAAGCCTAAAAAAAATATCCCCTTCCTTTGATCTGCAGTTCCACTTCTTAGAAATCATTCTAAAGAAATAGTCATACATGTGCACAAAGAGAGCAGCAGTCTTTATGATAAGCCCTAACCTGGAACAACCTACACGTTTACTGACTGGGCATTAGTTCTAAATGATGTAATAGCTACATAGTGGACTGTTTACGCAGTCCTTAAAAGTCATGTCTTTAAAGAATATTTAATGATGTGAGAAAGCTTAGATAACAATGGTTATCTCTTGATAAACAAAAGGGGAAAAATTATCCTGAATTCTTTAAGGATATCTAAATTTTCTATAATGTGTGTGTTATTAGTTGGCTCTTAATAATAGTAACTCTTGCATAGCAGGTTCCAGGCATCCACAGTAGATACAGGCTTAGCCCTTGATGTCAGGAATGTGGCCTAATGAGCATTTGCTTTAGTGTCTCTATACCATCAAAGAAACCAATATTTGGGGTCTATTTAATAGTGATAACTTTCTTATTCCATCATAGAAATATGAGTAGCCTTAATTGCTCTCTTTTTAACTAGAATATCATGGGGTTTACCCAGATTCTAGACGGCAAGAGTCTGATCACAAAGTGGTGATCAGTGTTTTCATTGTTCCTTGCTTCTCTGATGAGCCCTCATGTCCCAGTCATCCTCTCTCATGACATCCAAGGGGGCTGGCAGCTATCAACAAATGTGGCTCAGTGGACTGAAGCACCATCATGGTCCACAGAATTCATCTCCACTCAATACAAAACACAATATTATTTTGACACTTCTCTAAGAGATCACTTTCCATTTGCAGCTCAAGGAACAACGTGAAAGGGAACGGAAAATGAGGAAAGCGAAAGAGAACAGTGAAGAAGGCGGAGAGTTTGATGACCTGGTTTCCGCTTTGCGCTCAGGAGAAGTGTTTGACAAAGACCTTTCTAAACTGAAACGGAATCGCAAGCGCATTACCAACCAGATGACGGACAGCAGCCGGGAGAGACCGGTCACAAAACTTAATTTCTAATTTCCCTTGAATACTTTTTTAGAAAGCTCATTAGCGGCCCTTTGAAGTGACTGACTAGAACTTTTCATTACACTGCCTTGCAATCCAAACAGTGGCAATTTCTCCTTTCATCTGCGAGTGAATGCGTGAATGTGTGTGTATGTACATGTATGTGTGTGTATATATGAAGAAATGTATATAGAAATCTGAGAGTTGTCTGGAGACCTATATGTTTGGTTAAAAAAAAAATATGTTTATGTATGTGCTCAGAACCCATTTGTGTATATGCATTCATATTGAGTGTGGCTCATCTTCTTCCCCTGGACACCATGACTGTTCAGAAGCACAATACTATCTCCTCAAAGAGATACAGAGACATTCCCTAGAGTAAAAAGAAAAAAGAAAAAAAATAAAGCTTGAGAAATATTTTATGGTTTCCAAGCTTGATATACTTTGAAATTATTTTCACTGGTGAAACTGGTGTTGGAAAAATATAGATTTAAAATGGTTTTTGATAGTTGACAGTATGATGCTGGTGCATCGCATCAGTAGCTGATAGGACCAGCTTAGAATTTCTGACATTGATGTGGGGATGCAGTCTGTAAATGTTTATTGAGAACATCTGGCACACAATCTGAATTATGTAGAATGTCAATCAGAGTTCTTTTATATGTTGTTTAAAACTTGGACATCAATTTTTTCCCCCCTAATTTCATCGAGTTCTCTGCCAAGCACTCTTGATGATTTCTTTACATTGCTTTTGGAAAGAACACTATCTAAATGCAATCCATGCTCTTGTTAAAGAACAAAATTACCATAATGTGCTCGTTTTCCTAACAATATAGACCTATAAACTTTAAAAATAAAATTTCCCACCCAAGACTTACAAGGAGGAATTCTCTGAAAGGATAAAAATTATTTTAAAAAAAATTTTATGGGGTGCATTTTTTTTTTTTTTCTTTTTGGTATTTTCTGTTTTGTAGGACAAGCTGCATCTTCTGTAAATATAGGTCTGGACTAAAGGACATTTAGTGAATGCACAAAATGTCAACACCACCAACAGAGATGCCAAGAGCTATTTATCTCTAAGTATGTTTGATGTGATTTGCTGTTTATATGTTGTCATTTTAAATTGTGTGTCAGTAACGCTACCTGTAAAATTTCAGTCCAAAAGATAAAGCTCTCAGGGAGAAATGAATAAAAACAATGAACATTAGAAAATAAAATATAGATGCTTACCATTAACCTACCAACTCTTAATATCCTTAAATTATATGATATATAAAGAGGACTGTTACTTTTTTTTTTTGCTTTGCTTTATTTATTAGTAGTGGGGGAGGGGAGCTAAGGTTCTCTGTTTTCTTTCCATCGATCCTGTTGTGGTTGGGTTTCCTGTGGAGAGAGTAGTTTGTCCTATTGCACTAGAACATTATTTACTCACTAAATTGAGTTTTTCTGTCAATTAACGAATATTTATTGAAACACCTACTATGTGCCAGGCATAGTAGGGCTACAGTGGTAAGCAAGACAGAGCCCCTGCCCCCAAGGAGCTTATGCTCTAATGGGGACAGTTAAGGGGCAAACAGAATACTGATGCGTGCGCTGTACAGGAATTGTGCTATTTAAAAATAATTTGTATAAACTATAATGCCTAGCGCAGATGGCAAGGTCTCTGCGCTACATGAAAGCTGTGAAATAGCGCTCTAAGAGTTGGCAAGAGCCGTGGTTTTACGTTTTTCCCCCCTCACTGCAAACTTAGCAACTTTCTACACATTATGTGGATGACTCTAGCAAATAAAACAGTCACAAATACACAGCAGACGTCGCACTCCCCCAGCTCCTATGTACCAAGGTCTGCGAGTACACCACATTAAAGGTGCAGATGAGATTTTGCTCAAAAAAGCTTGGAGGTGAGAAGGAGTGGGATGTGCTATGTCTGTTCCTTAACTAAAGTGCCTCTATGTATATTCTTTTCTATTTAGAGCAGGAGAAATTTGATCTGGCTCAAGTTTGGAACTGTCTTTTGAAAATGGCTTTGTTTTACAGTTTAAGGAATGGACAAGTGGAGGGAGAGTCACATAAAGGAGCAAGTTTGTGTAGCATGTTCCTCTCGCCCTTTTTCATCATCCTCATTTTGATATGGCCATCCTGGTAGGCCTTCTTTGCCATTTCCATTTTTCGTTTCTTTCCCCGAAAGCTGTGTGCAGGTAATTCCATGTGCCATTGTTGAAAAAAAAACCTACTTTTTAGATTGGTGCTGGTGTAAGTAGCCACTTTTTCCTCTCTTGGGTGTGTATTTTAAAAGTTTTTTGTTTGTTTGTTTGTTTAAATTAATGCCAAAAAGAAAAAGCATTATAATTTGTAAACTTAATTGTATGTCTTGTATCTTATTAGCTTAGTAGTTGGAACCACTTAGTCTTTAGGCGCGAGACTGTTGTTATAGTACCAAGAAAAAATGTTGTGTTATGAGACTGTAAATTTTTTTTAAATAGCAACATGCAATAAAGAGATGAATTCATTAGGTGTTATGTATATGCTTTCTATGAGTTATTAAAACAGCATTATCAAACTTCTTTGCACTTTCCGCCATTAAATTGAAATATTTCAAGTTGTTTACTAAATTAGAAATGATACATTTTTTAAACCTGTACATACTGGGCCTAGAGAAGTATAGTTTTCTGCTATGGCAGTGTTCAGGATGTCCACAGACTACCATATACTACCTCCTTCTGTAACATGTTTTTGGTATAACTCTGTATGTGTTGAACAGTTTCATGGTGGAGCTACTGGTGAAATTATTCAACTGGGGATATAGAAAAGGGTTTCTAATCTCTACAATCAAAATCTTTTTCACTTTGAAGCATTGCTTTTTAAAAATTTAATTTATGATATAGGTCAATATGGGAAGCATCACCGTATGGAAGAAGGAGTGCATATTCTGTTCTCTGAAAATTGGGACTCTCTCTCAGCCCCACATCACTTCGGTTTCCTGGCCATCCTCTACCCAATTCGAAGTCAAGCTGAAAACAAATTATCCTAGTGGTTGCTAGAGAATCCAAGCACTTCTGATCTTGAGAGTGGACTCATAATGTTCTTATAATTGCTAACATCTTGGTTTTTTCTACCTAGTCCCTGGATACTGCACAGTATCCAAAGACTACTTTGTTCTTTTACACTGGCATCCAGACAGGAGAGATCCTGCTGCATGGTCAGCAAATTTTATATTCCTCCCTACAATCATGGGGACCTACATACAGAACCATCTAGACCCTCAGCAGCCCTTGGTGTATAGATAGAAACAGGGAAAAACCTGAAACTTGCAGATCATTATGCTTATTTCTATGTCCTCAGTTTTCCCCAGAAAATCATCACTGGGGAAAATGTGCTTCTGTCGGGCGGTGAAGCTGTTCAAACCCTCCAGGATTCTGCCCCTTTCCTATACTTAACACGGATTGGCCAGGCAAAAGGATAATCTTTAATAAACTAGTTTGGATACAATTCTTTAAAAGGTCAAGTTCTGAAAGGGGGGAATTTTCTGTGACCTTTTATTTAAATAACAAACACCACCTATTCCCTAATCATATAGAAAACCTAAGTTAAGACCCCCCCAAGGTTTGGAGGAGCTTCAAGATGGCAGAAGACTAAGACTTGGAGATCACCTAACTCCCCAGAAATACATCAGAAATACATCTATATGTGGAACAACCCCTAAAGAACAACTACTGAATGCCGGCAGAAGACCTCAGACCTCCCAAAAGGCAAGAAATTCCCCGCATACCTGGGTAGGGCAAAAGAAAAAAGGCAAAACAGAGACAAGGATAGGGACGGGACCTGCACCAGTGGGAGGGAGCTATGAAGGAGGAAAGGTTTCCACACACTAGGAAGCCCCTTTGTAGGCGGAGACTGTGGGTGGCGGAGGGGGGAGCTTTGGAGCCACGGAGGAGAGCGCAGCCACCGGGGTGCGGGGGGCAAAGCGGAGAGGTTCCCGCACAGAGGATCGGTGCCGACCGGCACTCGCCAGCCCGAGAGGCTTGTCTGCTCACCTGCCGGGGCAGGCGGGGGCTGGGAGCTGAGGCTCGGGCTTCAGAGGTCGGATATCAGGGAGAGGACTGGAGTTGGCGGCGTGAACACAGCCTGAAGGGGGCTAGTGCACCACGGCTAGCCGGGAGTGAGTCTGGGAAAATGTCTGGAGCTGCCAAAGAGGCAATAGACTTTTTATTGCCTCTTGGTTTCCTGGTGTGCGAGGAGAGAGGATTAAGAGCACTGCTTAAAGGAGCTCCAGAGACGGGCGCGAGCCGCGGCTATCAGCACGGACCCCAGAGACGGGCATGAGACGCTAAGGCTGCTGCTGCAGCCACCAAGAAGCCTGTGTGCGAGCACAGGTCACTCTCCACACCTCCCCTCCCGGGAGCCTGTGCAGCCCGCCACTGCCAGGGTCCCGTGATCAGGGACAACTTCCCCGGGAGAACGCACGGCGCACCTAAGGCTGGTGCAACGTTATGCTGGCCTCTGCTGCCGCAGGCTCTCCTCGCACTCTGTACCCCTCCCTCCCCGCCGGCCTGACTGAGCCAGAGCCCCCGCATCAGCGGCTTCTTTAACCCCGTCCTGTCTGAGCGAAGAACAGACGCCCTCCGGTGACCTACACACAGAGGCGGGGCCAAAAACAAAGCTGAACCCCAGGAGCTGTGCGAACAAAGAAGAGAAGGAAATTTCTCCCAGCAGCCTCAGGAGCAGCAGATTAAATCTCCACAATCAACTTGATGTACCCTGCATCTGTGGAATACCTGAATAAGAAAACGAATCATCCCAAATTGAAGAGGTGGACTTTGGGAGCAAAAGTTTTTTTTTTTTTTGCCCTTTTTTTCTTTTTCTGACTGTGTTCTGTCCATCTGTATTTTTTTTAACGTTTTAAAATTTATTTCTTAATACTTATTTTTTATTTTAATAACTTTATTTTCTTTTCTCTCCTTCCTTCCCTCCTTCCCCTTCCTTCCTTCCCTTTTTCTCGCTTTAATTCTGAGCCATGTGAATGAAAGACTTGTGGTGCTCCAGCCAGGAGTCAGTGCTGTGCCTCTGAGGTGGGAGAGCCAACGTCAGGATACTGGTCCACAGAGACCTCCCAGCTCCATGTAATATCAAGTGGCGAAAATCTCCCAGAGGTCTCCTCTCAACGCCCAAGACCCAGCTACACCCCTCCCTCCCCGCCGGCCTGACTGAGCCAGAGCCCCCGCATCAGCGGCTTCTTTAACCCCGTCCTGTCTGAGCGAAGAACAGACGCCCTCCGGTGACCTACACACAGAGGCGGGGCCAAAAACAAAGCTGAACCCCAGGAGCTGTGCGAACAAAGAAGAGAAGGAAATTTCTCCCAGCAGCCTCAGGAGCAGCAGATTAAATCTCCACAATCAACTTGATGTACCCTGCATCTGTGGAATACCTGAATAAGAAAACGAATCATCCCAAATTGAAGAGGTGGACTTTGGGAGCAAAAGTTTTTTTTTTTTTTGCCCTTTTTTTCTTTTTCTGACTGTGTTCTGTCCATCTGTATTTTTTTTAACGTTTTAAAATTTATTTCTTAATACTTATTTTTTATTTTAATAACTTTATTTTCTTTTCTCTCCTTCCTTCCCTCCTTCCCCTTCCTTCCTTCCCTTTTTCTCGCTTTAATTCTGAGCCATGTGAATGAAAGACTTGTGGTGCTCCAGCCAGGAGTCAGTGCTGTGCCTCTGAGGTGGGAGAGCCAACGTCAGGATACTGGTCCACAGAGACCTCCCAGCTCCATGTAATATCAAGTGGCGAAAATCTCCCAGAGGTCTCCATCTCAACGCCAAGACCCAGCTACACTCAACAACCAGCAAGCTACAGTGCTGGACAACCTATGCCAAACAACCAGAAAGAAAGGAACACAACGCCATCCATTAGCAGAGAGACTGCCTAAAATCATAATAAGGCCACAGACACCCCAAAACACACCACCAGATGTGGACATGCCCACCAGAGAGAAAAGATCCAGCCCCACCCACCAGAACACAGGCACTAGTCCACTCCACCAGGAAGCCTACACAACCCACTGAATCAACCTTAGCCACTGGGGGCAGACACCAACAACAATGGGAGCTACGAACCTGCAGCCTGTGAAAATGAGACCCCAAACACAGTAAGTTAAGCAAAATGAGAAGACAGAGAAACACGCAGCAGATGAAGGAGCAAGGTAAAAACCCACCAGACCAAACAAATGAAGAGGAAATAGTCAGTCTACCTGAAAAAGAATTCAGAGTATGATAGTAAAGATGATCCAAAATCTTGGAAACAAATTGGAGAAAATACAAGAAACATTTAACAAGAACCTAGAAGAACTAAAGAGCAAACAAACAATGATAAACAACACAATAAATGATATTAAAAATTCTCTAGAAGGCATCAATAGCAGAGTAACTGAGGCAGAAGAATGGATAAGTGACTTGGAAAATAAAATAGTGGAAATAAATACTGCACAGCAGAATAAACAAGAAAAGAATTGAGGACAGTCTCAGAGACCTTTGGGACAACATTAAAGGCACCAACATGCGAATTATAAGGGTCCCAGAAGAAGAAGAGAAAAAGAAACAGACTGAGAAAATATTTGAAAAGATTATAGTTGAAAACTTCCCTCTTATGGGAAAGGAAATAGTTAATCCAGCCCAGGAAGCACAGAGTCCCATACAGGATGTATCCAAGGAGAAACACGCCAGGACACATATTAATCAAACTATAAAAAATTAAATACAAAGAAAAAATATTAAAAGCAGCAAGGGAAAAGCAACAAATAACACACAAGGGAATCCCCATAAGTTTAACATCTGATCTTTCAGCAGAAACTCTGCAAGCCAGAAGGGGGTGGCAGGACATATTTAAAGTGATGACGGAGAAAAACCTACAACCAAGATTACTCTACCCAGCAAGGATCTCATTCAGATTTGAAGGAGAAATTAAAAACTTTACAGACAAGCAAAAGCTAAGAGAATTCAGCACCACCAAACCAGATGTACAATAAATGCTAAAGGAAATTCTCTAGGCAAGAAACACAAGAGAAGGAAAAGACCTACAATAACAAACACAAAACAATTAAGAAACTGGGAATAGGAACGTACATATCGATAACTACCTTAAATGTAAATGGATTAAATGCTCCAACCAAAAGACATAGACTTGCTGAATGGATACAAAAACAAGACCTGTATATATGCTGTCTACAAGAGACCCACTTCAGACCTAGGGACACATACAGACTGAAAGTGAGGGGATGGAAAAAGACATTCCATGCAAATGGAAACCAAAAGAAAGCTGGAGTAGCAATTCTCATATCAGACAAAATAGACTTTAAAATAAAGACTCTTACAAGAGACAAAGAAGGACACTACATAATGATCAAGGGATCGATCCAAGAAGAAGATATAACAATTGTAAATATTTATGCACCCAACATAGGAGCACCTCAATATCTAAGGCAAATACTACCAGCCATAAAAGGGGAAATCGACAGTA